TTTGAGAGAGACCTCCATCATTTTAGAGGAGCCTGAGGTTGGTCGATGAGCTAGGGAGGCCCGACATGTGTCAATTGATCGACGCCAGGAGCGGGAGACTTCAAGGGCAGACGGGCTGCCTATGCGCCGCGAGTCTCGCCGACATGTTGATTTAGCAACCGCAGGCGTCAGACCAACCAGAGGCAGGAGAGTTATCATGGACTACGACCTCGATGACCCTCTTGAGCCTTCCACTGCTGGTCTAGGCGAGCAACGCCAAAGAGGTCGGCCACCTGACACTGGTCGGACACAGGGACGAGCTTCGCATCGGTCTGGGCAGCTTTCGCCTTTTGATGAGGATTGCTTACAATGTACGGACTTTCGTTTTTCTTTCTTTCTTTTTGTGTAGTTTAGTTTTTTGTTCTCCATGACCAGGATAGCCTTCAGTGATTTTGTGCAGTTCAGTGTTCACACTTATTTTTGTTCGATAGAGCCGGTCTTCGATATTATGTGTGAGATGTTTTTCGATATTGTCCATGCGACACTGATTTGCATTTTTGTTTTTCTCTTTCTTTCTATGGTTTAGTTTGCGGTTTTCCATCAGCGGCATAGTGTTTCGGGATTTTACGTAGATGAGGCAGGTGTTTCGAGATTTCTTTTTGTAGTTTAGTTCGAGGTTCTCCATCACCGGTGGGTGTTTCACTCTATGGGTCAGATGTATTTTGCTATTATCTATGCTACACTGATTTGTATTTTGATTCAGATATTATCTCGACATTTGTGGTGTTTCTGTTTTATGGATGATGAGTGTTGCATGTCGTTTTATGTTTTTCCTTGTTGTTATTTCATACATTGGATAAACCAATGTGTGAACTTACATTTGAGTCCACGAATGGCGTGACAATTAGATGAATGTGTGTGTGTGTGTGTGTTTGTGTGTTCCAGCTCTCTCACAACACCCAAGTGCAACATCTCAAAAAAACAAAGAACCCTTGTTGAATTATCCCTCCAGGGTGTGGTTTCAATTTCGGAGAAGTGACGGATCGGAGGTGGTGGGGTGGGGTAGGCGGGCCGACGGCCCGCCGACAGGGTGTGGGTGCTGGGG